CTTAATTGAGTGGCTCCACCTCCTTAATATCCATTCTACACGCTTATGCTTTCATTGAGTCTCCATCACCTCATTATCCATTCTAATCCGTTATATCTTCATTAAGAGGCACCTCATCCTCATTAGTGTATGTGCATGAGAAGTATCACAGCATGAAGTATAGGCATTTGAAAAGCACGATAGTATAATTTGTTAGACAATTAAAGCACTTTTTATAGAAGATATTATGAAGGACAAACATGAAGGCATATTTCTTACCAATGCAGGAGCCACTGACAGCCGTGAAGGTGTCAGTCTTTGATGTAGACACAAACCCATCATCACATTTGCAGTAGTAGTTGCCCTCAGTATTGGAACAGCTGGCATTCATTCCACAAATGCCGGGGAACTGAATGCATTCGTTAACATCTGTGCAAGGAAAGATCATCAGGTTATGTTTCCTTTAGATCAGGTCCGAAGCAGACAGTAACTCTGGTGGTTAGTGTGTGGATGTGTGGTTGTGTGTGTGTTTTTGTGTGCAGTTGTGTGTGTCTCTGTGTCTTTTATGTGTTTTTGTATATGTGTGTGTTTATGAGTGTCTGTTTATGTTTACATGTTGTTGTTATTAGTATATTGCGGGGGCCAGACCTCCCTACACTACTATAAAAGCGTGTAAGTTTTCACCTTGTGGGGACATCTTGGTCCCCACAAAAATAACCTCAATTTTATGAAAATCTATAACTGCAATCTAATAGCTAAAAAAGAGGGGGTGGTCTGCAGAACATGAGCTCTTGGCTGTAGCTCAGCCGTACACATACACTTTGCTTAGACAATTTTTGCTTATTCTGTCATTTTGAAACACGCAAAGATAAAATAGTACAGCCAACATAATGTTCAACACCATGTTCTCACTTCTCCCTCACTGCACTCTCCATGAATTGATCTATAAATAAGGGACCAGGGACCTCGCTGAGTGCTGAGGAACCACCCAGTCATCCATGACCTGGACTGGGGCAGCCGTATGAGATGGTACGAGCTGTATATCAGCCGGATACATAAGATCTGCTCACACTCATCGCTTGCTCTTCTGGTTGTGACTCATCAAACTCATCACTTACTTTCCTGGTTGTGACTCACCACACTCATCGCTTACTCTCCTGGTTGTGACTCACCACACTCATTGCTTGCTCTCCTGGTTGTGACTCACCACACTCATCGCTTGCTCTCCAGATTGTGACTCAACACACTCATAGCTTACTCTCCTGGGTGTGATTCACCACACTGATCACTTGCTCTCCAGATTGTGACTATACACACTCATCGTTATTCTCCTGGTTATAACTTGTGAGGCAATATACTTACTCTCCTGGTTGTGACTCATGTCAGTCATCACAAACAGGCAGACTCCAGGTTAAAAACATCTGACTTTCGCACAATTCGTACTTATGAATGGATTGCCATCAAGCCTATTATATTAAATATTATAGTTAAATAAAACGTTTCGCAATAGGGAATGCATACACTACTTTGTGAGGCTCATGAAAGCATCTGTGATTCAGCAATTTGTCAGCTTGAGGTACAATACAGTATCTTATGTAGTTTCTTTTATTATTACTGTATAATCATTATCATTATTGTCTGCTGTATTATTATTTTTACAGCCTATGTACATAAAGACAGAATTAGGGGATGGACCTCATTTGCCTGTACTCTCCTGGTTGCAAATCACTACACTCATCACTTATTGTCCTGGATGTGCCTCACTACACTCCCTGTTCACTCTCCTGACCCTGACTAGGTTTACTCACATTATTGTAGTAACTTACACCTTACTCAGCTACATATCAGCACAGGGCTCTCAAGTGTCACGCATTG